TTAAAAAAAAAAAAAAAAAAATGAGAATAACCTGGTGACCTCTGACAGCTGAGTCCCCTGAGATTCTCATGTCTTGGATGAGAGGTGAGGCTATAAAAAATGAAAAATCTTACTTCTTAAAAATATTTCCTGTAGGAGTCTCGTGGTTTGTTCCTGTGGAAAATGTGAAGTCTGGATCTAAGAAGGAAAACCTGCCCAAGATCTTTGGCCCTGGCATCTCCTGGTTTGAACCAATAACTAAAACCAAACCCTGGAGGGAGCCACTGCGAGAACAGAACCAGCAAGCGCAGCCTGTGGACAGCCAAGGGTCACTGGCAGGCCTGGACAGAGATGGCAGAGGTCCACTGAGGCCATTTGTGAGAGCAACCCTTCAGGTACAGTGACATTGCGTTGACTAGGAAAAAGAAGGGCAAGCCACCAAAAAAGTTCATCTGTGGCTGGGCATTCTGTGGTGCGGTCACGCAGCTCTCTTTTCTGGCACCCCGTAGTCCGTCTCTTTGAACAAATGGCTACCTTACTTTTAACTGTTCTAAATAGTGTATCACCATTAGGATCTGGGGACAAGGCAAGAGAAGGGACAACGTTGTGACACCTTAGGGTTGTAGATTCCTGCATATGAAGGTCCCAGAGCCTGATACTGGTGTCAGCCTTACATTTGTTCCTCCGTTTATGTCACTCTGGTTCCTGCTTAGCACAGGATTTACGGAGCACCAGATCTCCTCTCCAGGTCTCTCTGAGGCTAATGGGAATGTTATTTAATGATGTATTTGATGATGAGTAATTTAAAATAGCACTGAGGGCTACGTCCTACCCACTGGTCATTTGGAAGACATTTGCCACAGTCTTGGCTTGTGCCAAAGGCATTGCTTTGGTTCCCCATGATTTCACTGTTGGGCCTTCCCCTACAGAAAGATGTTAGAATATTCTTCACCTCTAGGTATTTAGGTATTTTCTGAGTGCTTGAAACAGGATCTCCAAACCTGTTCGACAAGTACCGTTTTCAGGTCACTTGGGAAAGCAGACCAAGTCATTAATGTGCACTCGGGGCTTTTTTCCCTCCTTAGGAATCACTTAAGCTTCATAGACCTGACTTCATCTCTCGCTCTGGGGAGCGGATAAAGCGCCTGAAGTTAATAGTCCAGGAGAGAAAGCTGCAGAACATGCTTCAGAGCGAGCGGGATGCGCTGTTCAACACTGCGAGAGATTGGCAGGGCAGCCAGAATCCCATGTCCCCGCTGCCCAAGAGAGGTACACTCTGCTCATCCGCCTTCCTGTCGGTCACAGGGAGGCTGCTAAGTGCAAAGCTACTTCAGTGGGCAGAGCCCAGCTTAGCCCCCAGTGCTCTCATCATCAGATGAGTCCACTTACTCCAGCCCTGCCACCGCATCGTACAAACAAGTGTGCAGTAAGAGTGGTGTATTTATAAAGCAGCTCTGTGTTCATGAGCAACTTGGTCCAAAAAGTATGTTTTTTCCTTTAAAAATGGGGCCAAGTCCAAAGTTACCAGCCTCCTAGGGTAATAATGATAATAATCATTATTAATAATAAACACTTATATAACCCTTATGCCCCTGCTCATACCTTCTTCTCATTTAATAGTTAGCAGTATCTCCAAAGGTAGATATTGTTAGTATCCCTATTTTATAGTGAGAAAACGGAGGCAAGAGAGAGAAAGTACACCTTGTAAGTGAAAGAGCTAGGATATGAACCCAGGAGGGCTGACTCCAGAGTCTGTGCTCTCATGACAAGTGTAAAATTCAAATAAAATACTGTATGAAAGCTGTAAAAACTGTTGGCTTATCAGAGAAGTCATGATGCATTCTTGCATTGAAAAACAGAAAAATACTTCGTGACTTTTCCAACAACCCAATGTAAAGTATCACCTAATGCCTTTATCACAGCCTTAACTAGAAAGTGATCGATTTTTCAGGACCAGCAGTTAGCGTAATGGCTATGTCGCTGGACTCCCACGTAGTCGACCGCGGTTCGCGTCCTGGACCCGGTGGCTTAAAAGTCATGCCGGGCGCGTGTGCATGTGTGCCCAAGATCCCGAGAGGAGAAAGGAGGAGAAGGGATTACGGTGTGGCCATCCACCCTGGGGGGTGATTTCTCACTTTCTATTTCTCTGTCTCTCTCTGTCTCTCTGGCGAGCATACGTGCCCTATGGCAAAAAACCTCTCCAAAAAAAAGAAAGTGGTAGATTTTTTGATTCAAGCTCTCTGTTGGGTCGTTGGATAAATCATGATACATTTTTGCATAGAAAAACAGGAAAAAAATATGTCGTGACTTTTCTGACAGCCTAATAGTCTGCCACAGAATTTTATGTCTTCAGGGAGCATAGACTGTTGATGCAGTGACCCAAGTCAAGCTTCGGCCATGGCCATGGTTATTTTTCACCACCCAGTACTGATGGCTCAGGGTTGGGGCACAGAGTCCTAGCAGCTCCCTCTCAAAGCTTTTGATCCTTTCTTATTAAGTTACTCCGCTGAAAACCCCTTCTTATCTTGCTTATAGTCTTCCTGACTGTCCAGAAGAACAAGCCTATTGGAAAGAAGGAAATGATTCAGAGGTCTAAACGGTAAGGCCAAAACAACAAGAGTAATTATAAACGAATAGATCAGGCCGCCTTGCAGTAAGGAGCTCTGGTTTGCTCTTGCTCCCCCAACCCCCTCCCCCATTCAAATAAAGACATTTTGCTCAAGTTGTATTATGAGATGGGTCAGCCCCAAAGTATAGCAGTTGGGCGCCATCCAAAGGGTTTTGGATCCCACATGCCCAACGAGGGATCAATTCCCAGCCCCTCAGCTCCACGCTGGCTACACATGTACAATTCCAGAATCCTGACAGAATGGAGAATTGGAGGAAGAAGGATTGATATGTGACCAGGCCCTGTTGATGGGTGCTTTCTGTCTCATGTCTCTCTTACTCTCATAAGCACACAAGCCCTCTGGCATAAAAAAAATATGTATATTATGAGAAAGCTGTGAATATAGGTTCTCATGGCACTAAAATAGAGAAGAAAAATAAATGACAGATCATGGTATGAATGACTCAATAAAAAAGATGAAAAGAATCTCTATTAATTTGTATGCCTAAATCAGATTTCTTTTTATTAGAAACCTAAATATAGATTAAGAAATTCTGGGGCCAGCAGGTGGTGTGGTGGATAAGGGTGCTGGATTCCCACATGGCCAACCATGGTTCAAGTCCTGGACCTGGTGGCTTGCTTTCTCACTTTCCCTTTCTCTCTCTCTCTCTCTCTCTCTCTCTCTCGTCAAATAAAGAAAAAAATAACAATAACAAATGGAAATAAATAAATAAATAATTCTTTTAAAAATTATTGTATTTAACTTTAAAAAAAAAGAAATTTTAAAATAAAATGAAATATTTATTCAGGGTCATCACCTTTCGTCTTCGCCATTCCATTTCTATTTCTTTCTGTAGTGTGAGGAATAATGGAGTTCTTGGCAAAACATTTGGTTAAGCTTAGGGGGAAAAATTCAAGTTTCAGAAGCATGTGTATACTGCCATGATTTCTGGCCCTTAAAAAAAAGTACTGGTACCTTTATAGATGTGTTTATTTCTAGATACATAGAATATTTCTGGAAGACACAAAAAACTGTTATAGTGGTTGCTTTTGAGAAAAAGAACTGGGTGGCTTGAGTACAGAGATAGGAGAGAGACTGATTTTTCACTTTTTTATACTTTGTAAAATGTGTTTCCTTACAGGCGTTACAATTAATTAATTAATTAATTAATTAATTAATTTGAGATTCGCATATAGTATTGATTATACAAATTCCATAGAGTAACCATGTTAAGAGTTATTTTATAGGGTTCATTGGAGACTTGCTTTAAGAAGAATAGTTTTATAGTTGGCATAGTGCTCCTGAAGTCATAGTTCTGAAAACAATTTATCTTGCATAGTTTAAGCATTCATCTTTTTAAAAAATTTATTATTATTATTAGTTTGCTATGGAGCATGTGCACTCACGATGACAAGGGGGGTGAAAAAGCAAGCTGCCTGGTCCAGGACTCATGCCACAGTCTGCCATGTGGGAGTCCAGTGCTCTAACCACCATGCCACCTGCTGGCCCAAGCATTCTTCTTGAAGCACTGTTTTTACTCTCCATTCAGTTTTTTCTTATGTTAAGTCAAAGGGATGCTTTAATCTAGTGCTTCTCAAAGTGGTCTGTGAACCCCTGGAAGTTACTTATACCTTTTCGGGTCTTTTACAAGTTCAAAACTAATTTCAGAGTAACACTAGGACATCCGTGTGACTTTTTCAAAACTATATTGACAATTGCAGTGATGATCAAAAGCAGTGATGGGGAGGGGTGAAACTGCTGGTGCCTTTGCTCTGTTCAAGACGGTGGCGCCCAACTGTGCTGGTTGGGTAGGCGCTGTCTTCTTCCTGGCCGCGTGCCAGTAGGGCAGTTAAAGGACAATAGAAGCAGGGTACATGCAAGTACGAGTACTTCTGCAGCATGCCAAAACATCACGTTCATTTCAAGGAAAAGCATGTATGTTTTGGTTGTGTTGTGAGCTGAACAAGCTGTCTTTTCTTTTTTTTTCTTTTTTTTTTTTTGAGAGGTTTTCGCTATAGGGCGCGTGCGCTCGCCAGACAGACAGAGACAGAGAGACAGAGAGTGAGAAATCACCCCCCAGGGGGGATGGTCACGCCGCAATCCCTTCTCCTCCATTCTCCTCTCGGGATCTTGGGCACACACACACGCGCCCGGCGTGAGTTTTAAGCCACCGGGTCCAGGATGTGAACCGCGGTCGACTACGTGGGAGTCCAGCGACATAGTCATTACGCTAACTGCTGGTTCCCGAACTAGCTGTCTTTTTCATGGAATATGACTTTTATTTGAAAGACCACCTGACACATTAACTGATCATTCTGATTTGAGTAAATGGCAAACGTTTTCTTGAATGTGGAGAAGTGTCACTTCATAGAAAACAGCTGACAGCCATAGAAAAACTGAGCTTTCAAGCAAAGAATACAATTCTAGAAAACTTGTATTGATTACCATGAGCTGGACAACTTGCCCATACTTGGACCTTTCTGATCAGATCAGCAGAGACATTAACAAATGGGCTGTTTTTCATGTTGTAGAAGTAAATTTATGAACATACAGATCTGCATAACTTATTAGACCAGGATTTTTCCAAGTGAATGGCATTACAGAATCAGGCCTGTATAAAAGAGCCATTCTAAGTAAGACATAGGCTGGTAGATTTTTATGTAACAAAGCACAAAAAATTCATCGATAGGGTTCAGATTCCCCTTTACAACTAATTTTTTCTTTTTTTGAGAAATTTTTGCTATAGAGTGCTTGTGCTCACCAGAGAGACAGACAAAAGGCAAGAAATCACCCCCAGGGGGTGATGGCCACACCACAATTCCTTCTCCTCCATTCTCTTGAGATTTGGGGCATGGATGCACAGGTGCCTGGTGTGAGTTTCGAGCTGCCCGATTCAGGACTCAAACCGTGATCAACCATGTGGGAGTCCAGTGCCTTAGCCACTGTGCCACCTGCTGGCCCAACAACTAATTTTTAAGGAACTACCATTTATCGAACCAGCCAATGACATGATCAAGGCAACTGCGTCCCACATGGATGACCATGATTGAGTCCAAGATCCATAGGCTTGAAAAACACACTCGGTGTGTGCGTGTGTGTGTGTGTGTGTGTGTTTGTATGGAAGAAGAAATGGAGAAGAGGGATTATAGTGTGACCGTCCCCCATGGAGGGGGAGGGTACTTTCTTTTTTTTTCTCTCTGTCTTTGGCAAGTGCATGTGACCTGGCAAAACAGGGGGAGGGGAGGGCAAAAAAAAAGAAGAAGAAACTACCACTTGACAAAATTAAGTACCCATTTTCTGGAGAGAGACTTGGGTTTTAAACTGGTATCATTTCATTAGAGTATTAAGTCATCAGGAAACTCATGACCTATTTTTCTATGTTTTTCTATGCAAAATGCGTCATGACTTTCCCGATGACCCAGGACTTCAATTCAGTTTTATTTTTCACACAACCCCTTTACAGGGAAGTGATCCGATTCCATCTGAGAATCATGGGGTTGAATGGGATCTTAAATACCATCTAGTTCACCCTTAATTTTAGGAAATTGCCACCTAGATGGGGGAAGTAACCCGGCAAGTTAGAGTCAGAGCTGAGGTTAGCGCCCAGTGTTTGGTCTCCCTGTTCATACTTGCAACTGCGTCCTATCGAGGATTGGTGTCTCTGGAGCCTGTGGTTCTCATCTTTTTTTCTCATCATTCTCATTTACCTGCTTCCCACGTGGTCCCTACACTCCTCTTCATGTAGCCTTGACTCCATTCTTCCCAATATTAACACGTTCCTAACTTGGGTGCCTTTCTCTTATCCTGTCCCATTTCCTTTCTGCTCCTAACTATTCTTCAAGACTCAACTCATGTCTGATTTTCTCTCTGAAACCTTTCCTGGTATCTTTCCGTATAATTTCTGTGTAGTGTTTTGTGTATGACTATTGTAGTATGTTTCTTCTCCCTTATTTTCCTTATGGTTAAAAATACAATAGTAGGGGCGAGCCAGAGGTGTGGTGGTTAGGGCAGCTGGATCCCACATGGTTGACAAAATAGTTAGAGTCTCAGACCCAACAGCTTGACAAACGCCCCAGGCTCATGTGCATGCATGCTCAAAATCCCAAAAAGATAATAGAGGATTGTGGTGTAGCCATTCCACAGGAGATGGGGGCGGGGGGATTTCTTACTTTCTCTTTGTCTCTGTGTCTCTCTCTAGCAAGCACATGCACCTCATAGCGCATAGTAAAAAGAAGTAGAAAAATAAAAATCAACTAAGAATACAATAGTAGGCACAGCTCGGTGATGTGGTCAGTAGCAAACTGAACTGCACAGCGGGAAGCTGCATGACTAACTGTAGGTTCCAGTCCAAGGGCCAGCCTGAAAACACATCAGGGGCATATACATGTGCCCAGGATCCTGAGGAGCAAGAGGGCTGGGGAAAGGAGATTGCAGGCATGACAAGACCCTGCCAAGGATTCTCTCTCTCTCTCTCTCTCTCTCTCTCTCTCTCTCTGTTTCATACACACACTTGCTCTCTGTCATGAAAGAAATAATTCTCCTTTAAAAAAATACAATAGTGGGCTAGCCCTATAGCCTAGTGGCTAAGGGAAGCCAGATTGCACATGACCAACCACAGTTTGAATCCTGGCCCCAGTGGCCTGAGAAACATACTAAACATGTTATGTGTGCATGCCCCAAATCCGGACAGGATAGAGATGGAAGAGAAGGAATTGCAGCATAACCACACCCTATTGGGAAGGACTTTTTCCCTTTTCCCTCTATCCCTGTCTCTCTAGTGAGTACACACAACCTCTGACAAATCAAAAAAAGGAAAGAAATATAAGAGTAATACTCACATGTTATCAATATATTGAAATAATTCATTTTCACACAGAGAGTGGAAAGCAAAATTTCATTTCCACCCCCTTTATTCCACTTGTTCTCCTGAAGTAGCCACTATTAGGAAGATTTCGTTTTAGTCTTTGTTTTGGGAGGTTTTTGGTTGTTGTAGTTTTTGCTATAAGACGCATGCCCTTGCCAAAGCGAGATAGACAGATAAGAGACAGAGAGACTAAGTGAAAAGTCACCCCTCAGGAGGGTGGCCACACCACAGCCCCTTTTCATCCATTCTCCCTTTGACATTTTGGGCATACACACCCATATACCTGGCATGTTTTTCAAGCTGCTGGGTCCAGGACTCAAATTGCAAAATTGTCCATGTGGGATCCAGTACCTTAACCACATGCCACCAGCTGATTCATCATAATTAAGTTCTAAATGATCTATTTCCCCTTCCAGACCATGAGCCCCTCAAGCCAGGGTTCTCAGTCCAAGTGTCCAACAGGAAGCTGGGTGTGCATCAGGGGCCCCAGGCCTATTTGAGGAGCCGAATGACTGGGAAACAGCAGAGCTCACAGAAGTGGGGCAAGAAGAGGTTGGGTACCTCTGCACCCTGGTAACCTCACTGCTTTCTGTCTTCTCACTATGCCATTTCTAAGGATTTACGAGCAGCTTCCAGAAGTACAGAAAAAGAAAGCAGAGGAGAAGAGGAGGTCAGAATATAAGTCATACCGGCTCCGGGCCCAGCTCTATAAAAAGGTCAGTCAGTCCTGTCTAGAGCGTGTGGATCAGGCTTATCAGGGGAAAAAGAAATTGTGGGGGACCCTCCTGCCCTGTTTGAACACATGCTTAAGATTAACCACATTTGAGGAGTGAATTTGAGCTCAGTGTGCATGTACCAGTGCTGAAATTTGGAAGCCAAGATAAGGAGATCAGATTTCAAATCAAGTTTGGCTCCTCAGCTGTAGCTATGTAAAGCTCTTACCCTACATGCATTTGGGAACTAGATTTCACACATAGGAGTCATCTCTCATGGCAGAAATGTCCAAGTCAATCAGAATTGTCAGGTTTTTCCTCTAGAGTCCCAAATGGTGTTTTGTTTTGTTTTTGCCCTTCATGGATAAGTCAGCCACCCTAGAACTAGTAAGACCTGTTAGCATACACTAGAAGAAATCCGAATGTGCCATAAGAGCTTTGGGGGCAGAGGTGGAATGAGTGGTGCTGCAAGTTCCAAGAACCTCACTGGACAGGGACCTTGCCTCCACTTGCTTCTCTGAGAAGCCAAACTGGCTGCTATGCTGGAAAGGCCACATCCTTCACTGTTCTTGTTTCCTTCCCAAGCCACTCATTAAAACCAACATGTCTAAAAGCCAGAAACCAAAGATTATTTTATAGCAGTTCATACCCAAGCCGTGGGATTGGGGAGCTGCTCCCTCAGGTGGGAGCCCCAGCACTGCATGGCTTTCCTTGTGAGCCAGCCTCACGAGACCAGGCCTCTTGCCGTGCTTGTGTGTTTGAGCACGTAGATCAAGTGACCTGTTAGGGTTATAGATTTTCTGTATCCATATAGAAATTACATAGATAGATTATAAATGGTCTTACCTAAACATCTCAGGAAGAATTTTTTTTTAATTACCATATTTTCTGTAGTAGAATAAAATTAAATTTTGTGTAGAACATGGTTCTTTTCAGTGACATGGCTAGGATGAGGCATGGCCTCCAATGACAAGGGTGCCTAACATCTTTCCCGTCTTTCTTTTCTTCCACAGAAACTGACCAATCAACTCTTGGGGAGAAAAGTTCCCTGGGACTGACATAAGATTATTTTCCTCAGAGCCTTGGAATTATATTTTATGAACCTGAAGAAAGAAGCATAATTCTTACTTTTATGAGTCTGGTTTAATAAAGCTTATTCCTTGTCCTTGTGTAATTTAGAAATAGTAAATTCTAGAGAGTCTGGGACAAAGGGACCTAAGGTTACTAATAGTTTGGGACCAGTACTTCCTCTACAGTGGCCTTTTCCATATGTGTGTTACAATGATTTTCTTTCTTAATTCTAGTCAGGGGTGAGTCCCTTTTTGTATATGTTTTTATACTTTCAGAAAATAAATGAACTTTTAATTGACTCGTAGTCCAAGCAATCAACGGAGGGTCATTTCTTTCCCATCTAGAGAGGAGCCCAGAGTTATACAGTGTCTCCCCTCAGACGTCTAAACCCATCAGTCAAGGAAAATGGGCTCTCAGGATGAAACGTGGCCTCTCTCTAGAAGCATAGCAGTGTGTGGGAGCCTTGTAGGCTTGGCAGAGAGGGTATCAGGTTAGGGTACCTGTTAAACTCACTCAGAGACTCCCAGAAGACCCAGGCAGACATAGACACCATGGGTCCAGAGACTGCTCTCCACCTCCTCCCAATAACCCCAGGGATTGGCCACATAGGCTTAGAAGAAAGGCTTCTAGCCTTCTTTGATGGATTTTCCTCTGTCTACCCTCTTGTTTTCAAGATTAAAGCCTCAGACTGTTCATCGTCACACATGAAACCAACATTTTTTTTTTTTGAGAGATTTTCACTGTAGGGCGCGTGCGCTCGCCAGACAGACAGAGAGAGACATAGAGACAGAAAGTGAGAAATCACCCCCCAGGGGGGATGGCCACGCCGCAATCCCTTCTCCTCCATTCTCCTCTCGGGATCTTGGGCACGCACGCACACGCGCCCGGCGTGAGTTTTAAGCCACCGGGTCCGGGACACGAACCGCGGTCGACTACGTGGGAGTCCAGCGACATAGCCATTACGCTAACTGCTGGTTCCCATGAAATCAACATTTATAACCTAAAGAACAGTTTCTGAGAAAGATGAGTTAATAAATGAGATAGTGCACATAAGCACTTAATCCAGTGCCTGGATCAGAGTGCAACAGGATTTTTCTTCTGTAGCCTAGAATTAGAGCTAAGGCCCACTTGCTAAGCAGCCTCACTGCAGGTTCAGCCAGCCCCTGGCGGCTGGGGCAGCTGGGGCAGCCGTCTTCCCAGAAAACTCCTGAGAAGCCAAACCCTATCCCAGGAACAGTTCAAAGCTTTCATATCACGTCACCTGGGCGCTGTTCCAAACCCGTGAGGAGACCATGAAGAGGACTCAGAGAAAAGAACCCGTGTTGCTGGGCAAGGTAATAGACTGCTTTGGGCCCATGTACCTGTGAAATGAGAGGGTTAGTCTAAGCCCCCTTTCAGCTGCACAATGCTGTGACTATTTACGTGGAAGGGAGATGATTATTCACAACAAAAACAGAGTAATAGTTGTCTCAAAACCTGAGTTAGGACCAGCAGATGGTATAATGGTTACGTCGCTGGACTTCCATGTAGTTGACCACGATTCAAGTTCTGGATCAGGCAACGTAAGATCACGTCAGGCACATGTGCATGCGTGCCCAAGATCCCAAGAGGAGATAGGGTTACAGAGTGTCCATACCCCCTGGGACATGATTTCTCACTTTCTGTTTCTCTGTCTCACTTTCCAGCATGAACCATATGGCAAAAACCTCTCAAAAAAAAAAAAAAAAAACTGAGTTGGCAGGGAAACCAGGGCAGGATGGAGTCTGACTTGGAATGATTCTGTTTATGACCAGGGCTAGGCCATCCAGACACCTTCCCAAGCATTGGGCTCAGGACCTGGGAAGCCCTGGGTGGCAGCTGTGCCTCAGCCTCAGCCAGAAGAATACACCATGGTAATGTTGCAACAGGTGCTTGGGGAACCTGGTAGCATCTCCACTCATTTAAGGAAGTGTACAGACTTGGTCAGGATGCAGGGTCATAGCACAGAATGTCTGGGAGCTGTTGCTGAGAGTGCTCACAGCTACAGTCTTCCTGCCCTTCCAGTGCAGAGAGAGCTCTGACAGAGTTCCGCCTGGAGAATCAGGGCACCGGTCTCCCAGGCAACCCTAGCACCTCTCCCACAATCTGCTCTGCCCCAGAGCTCATGATAACCTCCCAGCCCTGCACAAGTTGGTCTTGGCTGAGCCCCTTACAGAAGCCAGAGCCACCACCTTATGCTGCTACTCTCCTACAGCCATCAGACTGCTCCTTCCAACAATAACACCACCTCTCCATGCTAGGACCTTGCTCTGAAAGTGCCTTCTCTCTGCCTGGCAGGCTCTTGAGCCCTGTTTTGCTTTTCGTTCTTGCACAGGTGCAGGATGTTGAAGTTGAACCATTGCCCCAGTCCTGAGCTATGGTGGAATTGGCCCTTGAATTGCTTCAAAGAACTGGTTCATTCCTAACCTGGGAATCCACCTCTCTTCTTTCTCCTGGAGGTGAGATTCCAGCCTCTACAGCCACTCTTCTTCACTGAGGGCAACTGCTGTTTCTGCCTACCCCCCAGAAAAGACCATCAGTGACTACCAGCATGTGCAGTTTGAAATAAGGGAACATGTGAAGAAAGCAGTGTTTCAACCACAAGTAACAGTGCATTCTGTGTCTCCGATGGTCATTCTGGCAGTCATTGAAGTTTGGCCAATGGGCCAGCCCATGGCGTGGTGGTTAAAGACGATTGCATCTCACATGGCCAATTGCAGTTTGAATTTCAGGCCCAGCCACTTAAAAAACATGCTGGGTGCGCATGTGTCCAAAATTCCAAAGGGAAGGAGAAATGGTGGAGAAGGGATTGCAATGTGACCCATGGTGAGGGTGGTTTCTTGTTTTCTTCCCTTCTCTCTCCCAGCAAGCATAGTAAAACTACGGCAAGTTGGGGGTGGGGGGAAGTTTACCCAAAGTGACCTGTTAGTATGGTCTATATCTTTACCCATTTAGGATCTGGATGATTTTAACCAACGAGGTTAAGTTGCATTTTTACTGACTGCAATGCCTTGCTTACAGCCCTTTCTCAATTTCTCACCAACTACTCACAAAGAGGGTGGAGGGAGACACAGAGGAAACAGAATAGTATTAAAAATGAGAACAAACACTCCTTTCCACAGTCTTGCCACTGCTACTGCCCAAGATGAAGACCTGACATAGGAACTCTGCGAACACACACACCAGGTCTGGAGCTGAGGAGCAGGGTGGCGGGGGTGAGAGGCATCATTTTCCATAGATGTAAATGCACATAGTGTAAACTCTTCCTTTTCTGATTCTGAGCAGCCCCAACCCTATCTGCTGCTCTCTTGCCTTTTGGGGAGCTGTGACTGACTCAGACATACTCAGTACCTAAGCACCTCCTCCCTAGGCATTAGGGTAAAATCTCTGCCCCTGCCTTTCTGACTCCCCCCCACCCCCCCTTCTCTGAATGTTCTCTCTGGATTTTTTCCCTCTGTATCTGGACCTGCTTCTTTCGATGTTGGTGCCTTTATTTTGGATGCTTTTATTGTTGCAAAGGTGAGAACCAAAACTGCTGTGGGCTTAGAGAAAATGGAGCCCTCCTTAGAAATCAGCCCAACTTCTAGACTTCTGCATGAGCCTTGGGGCCCAAAGTTCCAGCATGTCCCAATGGAGATGTAGCCAGTCATAGTTCCTGTGGTCCCCAGCCCAGTCTCATCAGAGTCCAGCCTCACCATTGCTCCCACACCAGTCAGTCTAACATCGGACTCTAAGTGCAGAACCTCAGCTATGAGCCAGATGGGGCTACACTGAAAAAAATGTCTACCCAGCTTCATTTCCTGAGGCAGAGACGAACAGAAAAGGTGGAGGTGCATAAGGGAATTTCAGCTCCTGGACTCCCAACTTAGAGGTTGAGAGCCTGCCTTGGTCGTGCAGGAGACTGGGGAGCAGCCGTCTCATGCCCAGGATACACATGCACATGCACACAGTGGTGCCATCAGAGGACAGGCACCAACTCCAGAGCCCAGGAGTTACAGTGGAGCTCATTGCCACAAAGTTTGTTTGAAACTCGCCTTATGTTGTAAGCTCCAGGAAGGCAAGAGTCCAAACTGACTTGTCTCTTTATCTCTCCAGGACCTGGCACGATGTGTTTGGCTCAGTAAGAACATGGTGAATGGCACCTGGGGTGAGTAGTAGAGCTCGGAGACTGTAGAAACCCTGGGGAGAGACCTGTGGCATCTGTTAGGAGGAAACATTTAGACATCTGATAAAGTCTGGGGTTGAATAAGTGTTAAATACATAGAAAACCAAACAACGAAAGATCATTTTGAATTCTAAGGAAAAGACAAATTAAAACCTTGAGGTAAGGATAAGTAATCATAGTTTCACTGTGTAGCTTAGCCTAAAATAAACATGGAATAGTGATGTAACACCCCCGCCCCGGCGGCCATCTCTTCACACGGAGAAGCTGCAGAGAGGGGAGGCCCATGTGCACTCTTGAGACCTAGCCTTGACCCTCGTGGCTCTAGGCTAGAGGTGTGCCAAAACTGGAATAGCCAGCACACACCCCAGTATGACTCCCCAGTTTAAATTCACCATGTTGCCACTTGAGCGTAAATTTTTAACCATTGTTCTCAAATGGTTTTGAGAACAGATAACTTGCATCAAAAGATAGAGACAACTCAGCGTTCCTCAACAGGTAAGCATAAATACACCAAGCACACGCGGGATATTATTCAGTCCTAAAAAGGAAGCAAATCCCGATACGTGCTATAACGTAGATGAAACTTCCTAACATGCTAAATGAAATAAGGCTGACACAAAAGGACAAGTATGTAGCCCCACTTACATGAGGTACTTAGAATAGGCAAATTCAGAGACAGAAAGTAGAAGAGGTATTATCAGGGGTTGGGGTGAGGGGGAGGGAGAAAGTCATTCTCCCCCCTCCCCCCAGTGGATACAGAGTTTCTGTTTGGTATAATCACAGTTCTGGAAATAGGTAGTGGTGATAGTTACATAACATTGCAAATGTAATCAATACCACTAAACTACGTTATCTTTATCTTTTCTTTTTTTTTAATTGCCACTGGGCATGTATTTGCCAGAGAAAGAAGGAGAGGAAGAAAGTACCCTGCCCTGGGGGCACAGGCGTGTTACAGTCCCTTCTTTTCTCCATCCTGTCAGGATCTGGGGCACACATGCCAAGTGTATTTTTCAAGTCGCCAGCACTGGGATTCAGCTTCCTTAACATGGGGCCAGCCTGAACTATACATTTAAAAATAGTTAATTGTGTTGGGACCAGCAGGTGGCGTGGTGGTCAAGGCGCTGAACACTCCCACATGGCTGACCACGGTTCAAGTCTCGGACCTGGTGGCTTGCTTTCTCACTTTCTCTCTCTCTCTCTTTCTCTGTCTTGCTCTGGTCAAATTAAAATAAATGAATAAATAAAATTAAAAATAAATAATTATTTTTTTTTAAATAGTTCATTGTGGGACCAGCAGTTAGCATAATGGCTATGTCACTGGACTCCCATGTAGTCGGCCACGGTTCAAGTCCCGGACCCACCGGCTTAAACTCACGCCAGGCGTATGTGCGTGCGTGCCCAAGATCCCGAGAGGACAATGGAGGGGAAGGGATTGCGGCGTGGCCATCCCCCCGGGGGGTGATTTCTCACTTTCAGTCTCTGTCTTTCTGGCAAGCGCACGCACCCTATAGCAAAAAAAAAAATTCTCAAAACAAAAAAAAAAAAGTTCATTGTATTTTACCACAATTTAAAACATACAAAAAAGAAGGGTAGGAGGGAGAGGCTAAGGAAGCTCAAGCTGGCAGATTTTTCCTGCGTGTGCCCACATTCTCACATGTGCACATATGTAGTGTATGCAGGAGGCAGATATGTGTGTGTAGGATGCAAATACAAGCATGAAAAACAAATTAGTTTGGGACCAGCTGTTAGCATAATGGCTGTGTCAATGGACTCACACATAGTCAACCGCGGTTCGAGTCCCGGATCCAGTGGCTTAAACTCACACCAGGCACCTGTGCGTGCGTGCCCAAGATCCCAAGAGGAGAATGGAGGAGAAGGGATTGTGGCATGGCCATCCCCCCGGAGGTGATTTCTCGCTTTCTGTCTCTCTGTCTCTGTCTGTCTGGCGAGCGAACGCGCCCTAAACCTATCCAAAAAAAGAAAAAAAAATGTTAAAAAAAAAAATTAGGGTAACCAATTTAGTAGTATATTAAAGGAAATCAAATGTCTTTTAAACATTGCCATGTTCTAAATAATCTCAAATTTCCAGTTGAATGAAGTACTTATTACCTGAAGAAAGGTGAAAGGAAGTTGGCAGTCAGCATTTTAGATTTTTCTCTTGCTGGGTCCAGGTCATTGACCCCTAAATTATCTTTCTCTCCCTCCTTCCTGCTTTCCATCAGTCCCTTGTCCTATAGAGTCATCTAAGCCCTTCTGTTTCCTAATTTTTTGAGGTGACATTTGTATAACAAAATTAACCATTTTGAAGTGTATAATTTAGTGGCATTTGGAATATTCACAGTGTCTTTTGTCAAGTCCCAACGTTTTCCTCACCCCAGAAGGAAGTCTGTGGTAACTGAGCCATCACTCCCCATTTCCCCTCCCCCCCAAGCCCCGTCTTACGGCAGAATTTCTTACCTATCAAGTGCCTCAGCCTGAAGTTCCAGTTTAACTGCTGTTACCCTTAGCCCGCTGTCTTGAGCCAACAATTCCTTCTCCTCAGTGCACACACACAGATGCCTTCACTGGTGCAGCTGTGGGCTCTCCTCTGAATCCTTGAGGGATTATAACTCCTCTGTCAGTGAGTGTGGATTTAGGGCAGGGAAGATGAGCATGGAGTGAGAGTAAGGGTGCCAGGATGCCGGCTCCTCCCTCTCCCTGGCTGTTAGAGCACCAGCACTGCCCTGTGGTGCCAGGCATGTGGGGCATCGACTAGCAGAGGACACTCCTGCCTCATAGGAAGGAGTCTGGCTGCCATGCTTTAAGAAGCTGTCCAGGTTCAACACCAGTATGCCATTGCTAGCCTGGGGACACAATATGCTTGGCATCTACACAATTTTTTCTTTCCCGCTCCCTTTTTTTGTTAAAAATTATTTATTTTTTGCGGACCAGCAGGTGGCATGGTGGTTAAGGTGCTGGACACTCCCACATGACCAACCATGGTTTGAGTCCCAGACCTGGTGGATTGCTTTCTCACTTTCTCTTTCTCTCTCTCTCTCTCTCTGTGTATCTCTCTGGCCAAATTAAAATGAATGAATGAATAACAATAAATCATTCTTTTTTAAATTTTACCTTTTTTAAAAAATTTAATCAGAAAGAAAGAGAAAATGAGAAAGTAAGCCTCCAGGTCCAGGACTCGAACTGCAGTCAGCCATGTGGGAGTTCAGTGCCTGACCATCATGCTACCTGCCAGCCCCACACTCTTGTTTTTAATAAGCTTGCTGGCAGTGTTGCTGCTGGTGGTCGGAGGACTATACTTTGAGTAGCAAAAACCTAAAGAACAACTGCCCAAAGAGAAGCAGGATGAACTGCTTTACTGCTCAGAAGTCATTTTTCCAACCCAATTATCCCTGTCACTCGGCTGAAAACAAGTTCAAATAAGCTGACCAACCACGGGAATCTTGAGAGAAGGGAAGAAAACACTCCAGGCCAAGGAAACAACTTGTTGAAAACCTCAGGAAGAGAACTCAGTCACTGACAGGCAGCAGCAGCTTGGTGCTTGGTGTGGCTGAGGGGGCGTGCAGGGGATCAGAGCAGAGGGT